ACCTTGCCTGGCCGCTACCAGATATGACCTGACCACCACCTTGCTTGGTCACTACCAGATATGACCTGACCACCACCTTGCCTGGCCGCTACCAGATATGACCTGACCACCACCTTGCTTGGTCACTACCAGATATGACCTGACCACCACCTTGCCTGGTCACTACCAGATATGACCTGACCACCACCTTACCTGGTCACTACAGATATGACCTGACCACCACCTTACCTGGTCACTACCAGATATGACCTAACCACCACCTTACCTGACCAGATACAACCTGACCACCACCTTACCTGGTCACTACCAGATATGACCTGACCACCACCTTACCTGGTCACTACCAGATATGACCTGACCACCACCTTACCTGGTCACTACCAGATATGACCTGACCACCACCTTGCCTGGCCGCTACCAGATATGACCTGACCACCACCTTACCTGGTCACTACCAGATATGACCTGACCACCACCTTACCTGCACCGCTACAGATATGACCTGCCACCACCTTGCCTGGCCGCTACCAGATATGACCTGACCACCACCTTGCCTGGGTGACCACCAGATAAGAACTGACCACCACCTAGTATAGTAACCTCATAAATATTAGGCCCAAGGATATAAGCTGTAATTTGGGAACTGCTCTGAGTCTTATAACCTAGCGCGCCAAATAAATATGGCCCTTCAAGTTTTAGCCTACTATAACGAAGAGAAGATGGAGAGAAAAGTGGATCAAATCGATAGATCAACACTGGCACTGCAGATTACAGTGGAAAAACAGCATTTTTGCAATTTACCAATGATGAAGGAAGGGAATTTCAATACGGAGAGCACAGACCTCCGCCAAGGCAGCTCAATTCTGTCACACTTACTGTAAAAAAAATTTAATTAATTTAAATAATTAATTGGATCCGGATCACCACCAATATATGTAATCAATTCTAAGTTACCCCCTTTCTGACCTATCCTGAAAATGTTAATTAATTAATTAATTAATTGGATCCGGATCACCACCAAAATCGAATCAGTTCTAAGTTAGCCCATTTCTGACCTATCCTGAAAATTTTATGACAATCCGTGCATGATATAACGCACGCTGCGCAGATAGAACATAACATAACCTCCTGCCCAACCCCTTGGCGGAGGCAATGATTCCGCTCGTAGTACGGTAGGCATTTACCGCTTAGCAAACGTTATTCTTGAACACGTTATGAAGACTATGCAGGATAATACGTTGTTTTGGTGACTCCAGAATCTTTGAAGTGAGTAGCTAACAGGTGTGGAGCAAATTACTAGATGACGTACACTGTGTTGATCTGTGTTACCGAGGCTACGTAACGAGCGTGTTTACACTCAAGGGACCGACCGTTCAATTAATTAATTAATTAATTAATTGGATCACCACCAAAATCGAATCAGTTCTAAGTTAGCCCATTTCTGACCTATCCTGAAAATTTTATGACAATAATAATTCGTCCATGATCACGCCGATGAAAACATTAACATAACCTCCTGCCAACCCCTTGGCGGAGGCAATGATTCCGCTCGTAGTACGGTAGGCATTTACCGCTTAGCAAACGTTATTCTTGAACACGTTATGAAGACTATGCAGGATAATACGTTGTTTTGTGACTCCAGAATCTTTGAAGTGAGTAGCTAACAGGTCTGGAGCAAATTACTAGATGACGTACACCTGTGTTACGAGGCTACGTAACGAGGTGTTTACAAAACCGTTCAATACAGCGTCGGTTGCTGCTAGACTGGTACTCGCTCCAACCCTAACCCTAACCCTAACCCTAACCCTAACCCTAAGCCGAGAGATGGGACCGGGTACCAGTCTACGGTTGCTGCATGCTGGCGTCCTCTTGTGTCGATAAATGTAAACGTTAATTGACTGTGAACTTTTGTAGGTGGCGCTAGTTGAACAGTGAATTCCCACATTTGAGTTTGATCCCGAATTTTTTATCTTTATCAGTTGTTTTTCATCGCAGTGTGACGTAGGTCAAGGTAAACTAATATTGTATATATTATTATCTCGTACGCCAACTAGTAATATGCGGCTTTGTGGCTATGTGGTTCAATGCAGGTCGTCTTATTCCAGACTCATTTTTTATTGGCCGTGGCTATTCTTAGTCTTACGACCAGTCGTAAGAATTATGAATGGACTATTCTTACGACATGCAACGCGCATGCGCATAATAGTTAATTATAACTATAAGTATAAGTTATATATATAGACTAGTCTATAGTGTCACTGTCAGACCGACAGACATGAATTGGTGCATATGACATATGTATACAAATTACAACTTCTACATCATGTTCGCGCAAGTCGTACTTTCGTACTAGTCGTTGTAACCGGTGATGGCAACGTTTCTCGCAGGAGACTTCTCTTCACCGCGATGTCCACACCGACCATCAAGCAGGAGCCTGCGTGCGTCGACGTTGCCGGCGGCGACGCCGCGACGACGACGCGCGGCGAGGGAGCGGACGGCGAGATCGTCCCCGCGCCGCCGCTCGTCCGCGAGTTCTCTACGGAGCTAGACGGCTCGGGAAACGCGTTCTACACGTGCGAGTTCTGTCTCGTGATTTACACGAGCTTCTGGGCGTACGACGAGCACCGCACTTCCTGTCCTGCGGTCGCGGCCGCGGCCGCGCTGCCCGTCGCCGCGGCGACGTCCCCGGACTGCGTCGTCGTCGAACCGGACAGCGGCCTCGACTTCTACTTCCGCTGCATCCCGTGCAGCGAGTGCTTCTTCACGCAGGAATCGTTCGTCGACCACTGTCGCCGCACGCACTGCCGCCTGCTGGTGACGCAGGGAAGCGCGGCGCCGGGCGCGGACGCGGCGGCGGCGGCCGCGGGGATGACGTCGTTGCACAGCGACCTGCTCGTGTCTTGCCGCTGCACGGCGTGCGGGGATTGCTTCTACACGGAGGCGACGTTCTGCCTGCACACCGTCGCCATCCACTGCAAGGTGCTCGTCTGCCAGGGTCAGAACTCGGCGGCGCGGAAGCCGCCGCCCCGTGACCCGGTGACCCCCGCGGCGCGCCGCCCCGATCCCCCGCTGTTCCGCGACGGCGACGATGCCGCCCCTTCTCGCCGCGGGTGGCCAACGGCGCAGCGGGAGGGGTACGCGGCAGGGGACGCGGGGAGGGAGCGGAAGGAGGAGGAGGAGAGGGCGGCGGCGGTGGCGGCGGCGGCGGCGGTGGAGACGCTGGGTCGCGGCTTGCTGGGGATCGCTCAGAACGCGCTGCTCCTCGCCCGTATAGCTGGCGTGACGACCGATGACGAACCGGGCGAGAGCACGCTGGCCGTGCAGCCCCCCCAGGCGAGGAGACCGCCGAACAAGAGGCAGAGGAGGAGTGTGGGTTCGCCGGACGTCGCGAAGGAAGAGGAGACAGGGGGCGCCGGCGGCACGGCGCGGTCGAAGAGCGCCCTCTGCTGCGGCGCGCGCAGAGAGACGTTCGGTGACTCTTCGTCGTTGCAGCGCCACCTGCTGGCGCACGCGAAGGTGGGCGAGGATCGGACGTTCGCGTCGTGCGGCGACGGAAAACTCGGCGACGATGACGATGACGTGATTGTCACGCGGGAAGCTCTGAAGTTTCACTGGGGGGAGAATCAGTTCACGAACCAAAGGGGCGGCGTGTTCACGTGCGCGCACGGCGTGTGCGGGGCGCAGTTTTCATCTCCTTCCAAACTGGCCGAGCATTCTTACCTTCACATGTACGAACCACACGACACGTTTTAGTCGAAGTTTGTCCGAGTTTTCGCAAGTTTTCTATGCTACTATCATTTCGTTATAATTAATACGTGCTAGTTTTTACGTCGTAGCGAGTTTTAGGTGGTGATGATGTGCCAATTTATAGGTTTGACAGGACCGTTATATCTCAAGTTCATAGAACTACTGTTTAGATGTAACTGTTTAAGGCATGTCATTGTCAAATCTTAATGAGAATTTTACTTGAATGTGTCCACAGTACATAGACATGTACAAGCATTGTAGATGGTGATTTGTCTTCAGATGTTTCAAAATTTCTTGTAGTTCCCCCAAGAAGGTACATGCAAAAGTCGTTTTTGGCCAACATGAACACATCATTCTCACATCATGAAATACTCCAATCATGGAAGAAGTACATCATAACCACAGTTATGATCCTTATGTACTTCTAATTATGCCTTCCAGAAAGCGGAGGCTATATTAATGAATATCTGACTGTCTCATATTTCTTTTGATAGAAAATTCGACAATTTAATCTCAAAACCATTTAGTTACATATATATTTTACCAAGTTATGCAGTTTGTACTATCATTGCAAACGTATGCTTTGTCTGTCCTTATTTCGTTTAGATATATATATGTTATCAATCATGGTCAATAAATTATGTGAAATATTTTCTATCTCGTGAAATTAACTTGTTAGTTATTTTCTTTACACTCTTAACATGCTTCCCCCCTGCTGTTCCGTCGTCGTTTCTACCCATACGTTTCCCTTTCTCTACTTTACCACACTCACCTCCACCTCCACTTTTTCTTCACTAACCTCCTTTTCACCTACGGCCTCTTCTCCTCCCTCTCTTGTACGCCTGTCCTGCACCTTCTCTATTGCTTTACCACTTATTGCACGTGCTGTTGCTGGGAACAATTTCATCAACCTTTACAATGAAACAATACTATGATATTACAGTGGCGTAGCCAGTCTTTCCAAGAGGGGGGGATTGATTATTCCTTCCAAGAGGGGGATTCCAAACGGTACTATATACTC